CGCAACACCGAGGGTTGCGATCCCGTTACCAGTCAGTAAAAAAGACAAAAAGGAAAAAAAAAATCTTAATGGGATACCCACAGGTTACAGTAACTCCCTTCCAACTGAAAAGGAGGTGAAGGAGTCACTATTTAACTTAAATAATTCGTATTTCATTTATAAATACAAGTTAAGCAGCAACATATGAAATTTGCATATAAAACCATGCTACTATTAAAAGTCACAAAACTTCATTTTTCTATCATACCTCGTGTTCTAGAAACAATGCTTTCAGTTGACCTTTTGACCAATAATCCAGTGCATATGCCAAAAGTTTCATTGAGAGAGTATTGACACGTAAAAAGTTTCCAACAAAGACAACTCTGTTTATTTTCTAAAAGAAAAGAAGAAAGTGACTTGTAAAAATAATTATTGAATAGATTTTACAATAGAAAGGGTTTACAAAGTCTATTTAAAAATGTGAACAACAACTACCTTTTATTAGAGCTAATTAGTACATTCCTGGCATAATGCTCTATAATCCTGAATATTTATAAGTTAGTTCTGGACATTCCAAAACCCATAGAATGTACAACACCAGGAGTGAACCCTAATGTAAACTATGGACTTTGGGTGATAATGATGCGTCAACATAGCTCCATGGATTGTACCAAATGTGCCACTTTACTGTGGCATGTGGATAGTGAGGGAGGCTGTGTGTACGTGGAAGGTATATGGGAACTCTCTGTACTTTACACTTAATTTTACTGTAAACTTAACTGCTCTAAAAAATAAAGTCCATTAAAAAAAAAGTTATGGAAAGATCCTAGCAAATGATTATAGGTTAAGACTTATTTTTGATAATGACCAATAAATAATCCATTTAAAAAGTAATTTGGAAACACATTACTGATGAGATTAAAGGAGTCAAACCAAGGAAAAGTATTGTAAAATGCATGGACTGTATACAGAGCTGGAGAGTAACAGTGATGGGGGTATTGGCATGTGCATTCAACTGCTAGGATTCTAGCATTCTCTGTATCCATCAAGCCATTGTCTTTTTGCTAAGATTCCACACTCATTAATTTGGTTTCTTAGGTGCCCCTATGATTAGGAAATATTCAATGGGGGAACTGCTGTTTGACTCTCCAAAAAACCTATTTTTATTCTTACAATAACACATGGACTTTTGAATATAAGTGTTTGCACATGAATTTGGACAATATAAACCATGGCCTTAATAACTGTGAAATTAATCAGCCAGTAAAAATCTACAGAGCTAAGAACAAAGATCCCAGATTACTGTCAGCCTCCAAAGTGAAATATTCCCAAAATCTAGGTTAAAAGGCCTGATATTAAGAAAACTGACAGAAAATTCTAGATTTAAACAGAAGAATTCAGAAGACTTGATAGATGTTCTCTTTGCTACAGCCTTTCTACCATAAATATCTACACGTATGGTGCCTTCACCTTCTCAAATCTTTGCCTAACAGTTACATTTTCTTTTTTTCTTTTTTTTAAAAGATGACCGGTAAGGGGATCTTAACCCTTGACTTGGTGTTGTCAGCACCATGCTCACCCAATGAGCCAACCGGCCATCCCTATATGGGATCCGAACCCGGGGCCTTGGTGTTATCAGCACCGCACTCTCCTGAGTGAGCCACGGGCAGGCCCTAACAGTTACATTTCCAAGAAAGCCTACCTTAAACCACCCAATGACTTAGCAATTTGTCCTCTGCCACATTCTGCCCTACTTCCAAATCTCTTTAACCTGTTTTATTTTCTCTTTTCAGAAAATTTAGCATTTATCACCTAATACATACTAAAGGATTCACTTAATACATCACTAGAATGAATGGCTCCACATTGCCATATTCACTAATTTATCATATCCTAAATGCAGTGTTATAACACCAAGGTCAAGGTCAGATCCCTGGTACATGCCAGCCACTACTTCCCCCTCCCCGCCAAAGCCCTCTAACTCTCCTAGGTGCCTAGAACAGTGACTGGCACATGATACCCTATAAATATTTACTCAATGAATAAATGAGTGAATGAATAAATGAAGGATTCCTTCAAAAAGCAAACCTCTCAATCCATCTAAAGTATTTGATGATACTGACAAAAATAAAATGAGCAAATATGTGTATTATATAAAGGTAGAATTATACATATACTCTCTTCCAAATAAAAATATCCCAACTATGTGGTCAATCTAGTAGTATATGCTTTTCAGTTTTCTTAGAGCAAGCAGTATATATCATTCAAATATCATGTGAAGAACAAATCTCAATGCCTTCATAGCCCTGTACAATGCTGCTTGATCCATATGCAACAAGGCAGCACTGTAAAGAAGCCGAGGGCAGTAAGAAAACTTCCAAGTATTAATCTAATGCAGTATTAACGGTAAAAAATAATTACTTTAAAATGTTTTATGCTTAGAAAGAACTTTCTTTTGCATCCTCAAGAGATTTAGGTTATGCATGTCTGAAAAAGTTTCTGGATGAATATAAAATGTAAACATGTATTTCTCCTATTCCAATTTGAATTATCTGCTTTCTTTACAGGTACCATAACAATTGAGTATAAAACATATATATGCGTAATGAGTCTTAAGACTTAAAGAAACAGATCTCAATCCTAGAAGTCTCAAACCTAGAAGCCCTGTCAGATGTACATAAAACTAAAATTCATTTTAATTTTTTTTTTACCTCATTAACAGCACACATTCGTGCCACAGAACCAATGTTATTGGTGATAGTAACTAAAGTAGCTCTTGCCAGATCTTCTTTACTAACAGATTCTCGCTTCTCCTTATAAATCATATTCCCAAAACTGCAAAGAAATGAAAAAAAGTCAAATTTGCTGATAACAAGCAACATCCATAACCTGGATATTCTTATAAATTAGAACCAAAAGAGTTCTAATAGGGATAAAATCAAAACAAATTAACAAAAATATACACAAGAGTACAGTGGTAACTTTTAAAGAATTAATTAAAATTAAATCTCAAAGTAAAGTTACTTGTTATAAAGAAGCAAAGATTACTAAAATGTCTTCATTTTAAAAACTGACACAAAATAATTAAAAGACTATTATTTTAGGAAGCCAAGAAATAATAGGGAAGTATATTTTGACTTGCTGTAGTCAAAATGATAAAATGTTTCCAAAGAGATCTCAGCTTTAACTTCAAATCCCTTTTCATTCAGTCACAAGTATTTATGACATAGCACTGTGTTGGGGGCACAATGCAAGTACCTCGAGCAGAGTATTAGTCTACTGCAGCACTGTCCAATAGAAATAAAATGAGCCACATGTAACTTCGTATTTTCTTATTAGCCACATTAAAAACGACAAAAATAAACAGGTGAAGTTTAATTTTAATTGTACATTTTATTTAAGCCAATATATACAAATATTGTCATTTCAGCATGTGGTCTAACCACATATCAAGTGCTTGATGTACATGTGTGGCTAGAAGATACTGTACCGGACAATGCAGGCCTAGACAGAGGAAGAGAGAGCAACAGAAGTACTTAGCATAACAGGAAACAAACAAACACAAAAACCCCAAACCACAAGCTACCTTGGGAACACAAAGGAAAAAAAGATCCTGTATCACTGTGGTTAAGAGGAAAAAGTTGACAAGGTATGAGGGAAGCTTATTCAGAGTAAAAGGACTGGAAGAAGTTAGCCAGAAAAATAGAGAAGGAAAATGTTGGGCACACAGAAACAAGAACTGAAAACATCTATGAAATCACAAGTAACACCAGATGTTCAGAGCAAAAGGTCCATGTGAGAGAAAGGAAAGAGACACTTTTTTTTTTTTTTTTTGTCTTTTTCCGTGTCCAGAAACGGATCGCAACCCTCAGTGTCACCCCCACACCGGACCGGGACCGGCAACGGGATTGCAACCCTCGGTGTTGCTCCCGCGCCTCGCTCAGCCAGTGAGCGGGAACCGGTCTGTATGTGGGATCCGAACCCTTGGGCGGGAGCGCCGCCGCGCTTCCCAAGCGGCGCACTCTCCAGTGCGCCACCGGGCCGGCCCGAAAGAGACACTTTTGAGGAGTCAGGCAAAGTCCACAACTGAAGGGCACTGGATGCCTTGACAAAGAATTTGAGGTGCACAAGCTATAACCAGTTAGAAAGTATAATGGGAGAGAAGACTGATATACAACAGAACAAAAAATATAGAATAATTAGGAAAAAATTTCTATGTTCCATGTACACAGAGGAATTTAAAAATGGCTGAAAACCAGCTAGCTGCCAAAATAAATAAGTTAGTCTGAAAGGCACAGACTGATATCCAATAGAAGAAATATGAAATAATTAGGAATAAATTTAAAAAACAATATTCAAACATATATGAAGAGGACTTTAACAATGTCTGAAAACTGGCCAGCTGCCAAAATAAGTAAGTCTGAAAGGCACAAAAGTAGCCTTACACAAACAGGAAAACTGCTAAGTTCTTCAACAGGGATGGCGAGTATTAATATCACAAAGATGTCATTTGTCCCTAAGTTAATATATAAATTTAGTGAGAATCCAAAAAAGAGAGACAAACTTTTTTGTACTAGAGAAAATGTAAAGTTCATATGGGAAATTAAACAAGCAAGGGTTGGGGGGCACTAGCCCTTTTAGATATTAAAATATGGTTTTATGCTTCTATAAATCTAAGAGTATAGTGCTGATGCATCAATAGAGTAATGAAAAGAATCCAGTGTATGATAAAGAAGTCACTGCAAATCAGTGGAATAAATATGGATTATTAGGTATTAGGGCCTTCTGAATAAAACTGAAGAACTAAAGCTGGTTCTGCACCTCACACAAAAACCCAAGATAAAGCTCTAAGAAAATCAAAGACTGAAATATAAAAATAATACCAATAAAGATCAGAAGAAAACAAGGGCTTATTCCTTTATATATTTGGAATGCAGAAGACTGACTTACTATGAATCAATATCGAGAAGCCAGAAAGGAAAAGAGTAATAAGTTCAACTGTATAATGATCCAACAGAAAAGTAGAATATGAACGATCACTCAAAGAAAATATGCTAGGTTCTTAACCTCACTGTTGCTAAGAGATATGCAAATTATAATTACATTAAGATATGACTTCTCCATCAGATTAGCAAAAATTCCAAAGTCTGACAGCATACTACTGCAGGTGAGAGTGAAAAATATATATACAGTATAAAAGTAGTATACCACTACTTTTGAGGGCATACTTAATATCACAAAAATGCTTTTGCAATCCTACTTTTGGGAATTTTACCTACAGATAAGCCTACACACGCACAAAATAAGGACACAATGACAATACGGAAAGATTTCTAGGATACATTTTAACATATTATATTGCTTTTTGTATAAGTGAAGGGGAGGATAATAAGAATATGTATTTGTATTTACATAGAGAAACACTGGAAGGATACTCAAGAACAAATAAAAGTTGTTTTGTACAGGGTGACTAGGGATAGACATTTTAATGTATACTTAATTTTTAACTACATCAATGTTAAAAACATGAAACCCAAACTGAGTAAGAGAAAGCAGCCTGATACACTGCTTTCTAAAAATTAAATAGGCAACTTGAATTACAACATAAATGTTTAACTTACCTAGATGCTACAGCCCAACCTGGCAGGCCAAATCTTTCATAATCTCCTCCATATATATCACGAACCAGCTTGTCAGCTTGGGTACTATCTCCTTTGGATGCCATTTCAAGAGCCTCTTCAAAACTTTCACAGCCAGTCAATAAACTGCATAAACCCAGAAAGGTACCCCCTCCAAGGCTAAAGGAGATAAAGAAATTTGCTAAGTTGCATTTACACACTGTATTCTTTCTCCAAAGTAGAGGGTGGATCATTCATTTATTAAATACATAAAACATATTACTAATGCTAAGTGCTGAAACAGTAACACAATGAAGAAAGGCAAGAAAAATTGTAAGTAAAACCAAGTTTTTAAGATTGAAAAATAAACCAAAGGAAAAAAATCACTCGGTGGAAACAACATGAAGACAGAAAGGACCCTGGATATGTTCCAAAGTCTTCGCCCAATACCTTAAACTTTGTAGTTGCTAAAAACATTTTTGTATGTGTTAAAAAGGAATGTTAAAAATTAGTACCATACGAATTAAAAGGAGAAAAATCTGTAATTTTAAATGGTCCCCAAAAAACGATTTTGTGAAAAGCTTATTTACTTGGCCTGACAGGGCTGAGATCGATTCAATGTGATACATTAACATTTAAGAAGGGCTGGCCTGTTAGCTCAGTTGGTTATGGTGCTGATGATACCAATACATCCCTGTATTGCCCAGCTGCCAAAACAAAAACACTTAACATGACCTAGACATAAAGACAACGAGGAAATTTATGCCCAATGGTCATCTGTTAATGACAGAAATCTGCTTGGTTCTATAATTCTTTTGAATATGCTGACAAAATGAAATCGGGTCTCTCTAATCCCTGAACTCAAAACCTTTGCTCCCTAGGCTCTCCTAAATTTCTAGCAGGTTCTTATTCCTGAATCACTGATGGATTTAATTAACAGACTGAATTTCTGTCCTGTAGAGCTAACCGTAGATAATACGTATGTGTTAATTCTTTGGCACAGAAAGTTACAATGGAGGTGAACTTTTAACCGCCATAAAAATAAAGTACTAATTAAAGTATCATTTAAACAGGAGTACAAGTTTAAAACTGAAATGAATTTTTTCACAAATCTATTTTTTTTTTTTTTTTTTTTAATGACCGGTAAGGGGATCTTAACCCTTGACTTGGTGTTGTCAGCACCACGCTCAGCCAGCGAGCTAACCGGCCATCCCTATATGGGATCCGAACCCGTGGCCTTGGTGTTATCAGCACCGCACTCTACCGAGTGAGCCACGGGCCGGCCCCCACAAATCTATTTTAAAGTATCCTAAAATCTTCCTTCCGTAATTGAGTAAATAGGAGTCCACCTCTCCTTAAAAGTTGATAAAGTATGTAAGAGAATCATACGGAAAAATTTTAAATCTTATTTTGCATTCATATTTCAGGTATCACAGCAATTTTTATAGGCTATTTGGGAACATTAATGTTAGCCCATAAAGAGTTTCCATTAAATTCATCTTATAAGAATTACACATCCTGATTTGGTCATCACACATTGTACACATGTATTGATATTCAACTCTGTAACCCACAAATACGTATAATCAACTATTTTTAATTAAAAAAAAGGATTACAACGTTACCCAATATTGCAGTTTAAATGTGAAAACTATTCAGTATATGGGCATGCTTAAGGCTTAAATATAAAAAGTGAAAACAGGAAAAGAAGAAAACGGCTTTGGAAAATAAAATATAGATACTGTAGTTTTGAAATCAATAGAACATTGTTGCTTCCAAGTAAATGTTGTTCTTTAAATTAAGGAAAAAATGTTATTAGAATCATCCTAGATAAAAATTCACTCCTACCATTATGGAAAGTTTGATGCCAATTGATGCTGACCAATAATAAACACTGATTTTAGTTTAGTTGAACTTTTTTTTTTTTGGACAGCTGGCCAGTACAGAGATCCAACCCCTTGACCTTGGTGTTATAACATTGTGCTCTAACTGAGCTAATCAGCTGCTCCATTTAATTTAACCTTTACATATACATCTTATAAAAAGATATTTTCTAGGGCCGGCCCGTGGCTCACTCGGTAGAGTGTGGTGCTGATAACACCAAGGCCACGGGTTCGGATCCTATATAGGGATGGCCGGTTCGCTCACTGGCTGAGTGTGGTGCTGACAACACCAAGCCAAGTTTAAAAAAAAAAAAAAAAAAAAAAAAAGATATTTTCTGCAACATTTTAATACATATAACAACATTTCTTACTGTTGTACAAATACATGTTATCTTCCTGGGGAAACCAGCATTAATATATTGACTTCACAACTTATGTATATAAAACAATGTGAATGCTACAATAAGACTAAAGGTTACTACCTTGTCCCAGTCACTCGTTTATAGTTGTCTTTGGAATGGACTGCTAAAATACTGACTCCTGAGCCAATGTTCACTACTAACAGTGGATAGGGATCATCCAGGTTAAAAGGCATCTTTTGGCATCGCTCAGGTTCTGAGGCATTAGCAAAATAATAGCACTCTGCTTGTCCATTGAAACTGACAGAGTCTATATACAGCAAGCCCTTTACAAGGCAGTCAAGTTCATCCAGTTTGTGCAGGTGGAGGTTTCCAATCTGTGAAAAATAAATAAAAAATTTAAGCAGAAAAAAAAAAGGACAGCATTTAAAATACTTAAGCGTACAATTTTCATATACTTCACAAAATTTCAAAACCATCTATGACCCCTACATTTTCACTTTTGTTTCATGTCAAAATCTCTGCGATTTCATGTAGTCTACTGGTTCTCAGTAAGGATAGTATCATCTCTGGGAGCATTTTAGCTTTCAAAAGATGGGGAGGAGGGAAGGAACAAACTGACATTTAGCGGGGCAGGAACTTGGGATGCCAGACATCTACAATGGGTGGGACAGTTCTATAAAATGAAGAATTATCCCATCACTGCATTACCTTTGAGCATTCTACCAGACATTTTTGTAATGGCAGTAGGAAAATTTGTTTACAATCATCTGAGCCCATAAGCACAACTAAAAAAAAAAATCAGTCTGTGTGTATAAACATAAAATATTCTTCACATTTTGGGGGGGGTGAGGATGCGCGGTAGCTGGCCTATATGGGGATCTGAATCCTTGACCCTGGTGTTATCAGCACCACTCTATGACCAAATGATCTAGCCAACCAGCCCTATGTGGTTTTAGCATATATTAACTTCGTTAGGAATTCAACCACCAGATAAACCAAAAGAATACTGTGCTTTTTACTGTTTGGACTTTTACCAAGTATTGTTCAGCATCTTAGAAAATCATGTCATCAACAGCAACGTCACTTATGGTACCTGATTCTCCAATAAAACAAACCATATCAATCTGGCATTTGTAGCTTTGGTTTTCATAATAAATCTATGTATAGGTACAAGCATTTAACTATTTCACTATGTCCTCTGGTATAATCATACCAGCGAATCTATCTACTGATATGTAAATACCTGTCTTTATATTATGATTTGGGTACTTGTCTGAAATTATTAAATTTATTTCAGGTTAGTAAAGAGTGTATTATAAAATATCTGTTATACCTCTTTTTTTTTTTGTCTTTTGTCTTTTTTCCGTGTCCGGCAACGGATCGCAACCCTCAGTGTTGCCCCCGTACCGGACCGGGGACCGGCAATGGGATCGCAAGCCTCGGCGTTGCTCCCGCGCCTTGCTCAGCCAGTGAGCGGGAGCCGGTCTGTATGTGGGATCCGAACCCTCGGACGGGAGCGCCGCCGCGCTTCCCAAGCGGCGCACTATCCAGTGCGCCACCGGGACGGCCCTGTTATACCTCTTTTTTTTTTTTTTTTTTTTTGTCTTTTGTCTTTTTTCCGTGTCCGGCAACGAATCGCAACCCTCAGTGTTGCCCCCGTACCGGACCGGGGACCGGCAATGGGATCGCAAGCCTCGGCGCCGCTCCCGCGCCTTGCTCAGCCAGTGAGCGGGAGCCGGTCTGTATGTGGGATCCGAACCCTCGTACGGGAGCGCCGCTGCGCTTCCCAAGCGGCGCACTATCCAGTGCGCCACCGGGACGGCCCTGTTATACCTCTTTTTTTTTTTTTTTTTTTTTGTCTTTTGTCTTTTTTCCGTGTCCGGCAACGAATCGCAACCCTCAGT